CAACAACAACAACAACAACAACAACAACAACAACAACAACAACAACAACAACAACAATAATAATTAATATTTCAACATGTTCACTGCATACCCAGTAATAGTTTAGGATGAAACTTGTCTCTACTGATAAAGGCTAACCATCTTACCAACAGGGCAGGTTTGTTTAATGGAAACCTAAAAATATACAAATATGTGATATTATTTTACACTGTGTAAAATAAACCAGAGGACAAATCAGCTTGTAATATTTAATGATTTGTGCTAAATTGTAGCATGATTCAGCAGAGCGCTACATTTTGTACATTAACATGTGCTACAGAAGCTAGTATCTGCTCAGTAATTAGAAAGTGATTACATTTGCTTTATTAGATAATTTGAAGTTAAACTGTAACAATAGTAGTTTCAGTTTTGGTCTGATTAAATCCACAATAAGGTAAATAMATAACACACACACAGCTTTCGGCCAGTTTTATGTTTTAGATAGCTTATATACACTCTAAAATATTAATAATAATTTATTTTATATTATTAGTAGTAGTTTTTTATGATTTCCATATCATCAGTCTGTTTTATTTATTTTTTATGTTGCCATCATGTACAGTAATGGCATCCAAACTCTTGCCCGCTCTGCTTAGCGACGTAGCTTGTGCAGTAGATCACATGGTCACATGGTTAAAACACACCCCAGTATGTACCTACATGAGGCCACCATGGACAAGCGCCCCCTGGTGGCTGGCTGTAGTTACAAATGTAAGTCCCGCCCCTTTATGGAAACAAATGGTACATTTGTCTGAGTAAAGGACAAAAATACATTTCAAATAACGTTTTAACCACACTGTGCCCGTCACACCCTGACAGTACTCCTAATAAAACAGGCTGACAGAACAGAAGAAAGTRATCTTCTAACAAGYAGTTACTGTGTGAAAACTACAAGCTGTATGTAAGAACATTCTCGAATTGTTAGCAAATGAAGACTCAGAGTTAAAATTTTATGAGTGTACAGTGATTTTTGTACAATGAGATGCACCACTTTGATGATTTAGGTTTAAATTTAACAGAAGTCAATCATCAATCTATGACCTACGATCCTATAGGTCGTGGATCGATGTTTGACTTTGTAGTCATGTCATCTGATTTTCAGCCATATTTTTGGACACTCGGGTGAAGATAAGAGCTGAGCTGTCAACCRATCACCACCTGGTAGTGAGGACACCTGATAGAACAACCAATCAGAAATACCTATGAGAGAACTTTAACCATCCAAGCTAAAGCCAAGGGAGGGGACACTGAGTTTGAATGGGCCATGTTCTGTGTCTCAGTTGTCAAGGCAGCTGCCTGGAGGTGTTGCTGCTTCTCACGGTGGCCATCCTTGAACGTGGATGACAATGGAGGGTAAGGGAGGCTGTCAAGCTGAAAAAGGAGTCCTATCAGGCCTTTGTGGCTGGTAGGACACCGGAAGCGGCTGAGGAGTACCAACAGGACAAGCGGGCCACAGCCCTGGTCATTTCTGAGGATAAAGCTCAGATGTGGGAGAAGTTCGGTGAGGCCTTGGTGACATCCACCTTGATATCCTCAAGCCTCTGGATGTTGTGGGGCTGTCTTGGTTGACACACCTTTGCAACATCATGTGGACATCGGGAACAGTGCCACTGGATTGGCAGACCGGGGTGGTGGTTCCCTGCTCAAGAAGGGGGACCTGAGGGTGGGCTCCAGTTACAGGGTCCTCACTCTCCCTAGCCTCCCAGTAAGGTTCATCCAGGGGTGCTGGAGAAGAGAGTCCAATCAATTCAGGAGGAAAAATGTGAGTTCTGTCCTAGCCGTGGAACACAGGACAAACTCTTTACCCTCACCAGGGTTTACCCATCCAATTATCATATATTTTTGTTCAGTGACCTCAGGATTCCATCACTGTAATTTGCAGATGATGTGGTCCTGTTGGTGTGCCGTGATCTTCAGCTCTTACTGGTGCRGTGTGCAGCCGAGTGTGAAGYGGCTGGAATGAGGATCAGCATCCCCAAATCTGAGTCCATGGTCCTCAGTTGGAAAAGGGTGGATTGCTCTCTCTGGGTTGGGGATGAGGTTCTTCCTGTGGAGGAGTTCAAGGACCTTAAGGTTTTGTTCATAAGTGAGGGAAGAATGGAGCAGAGATTGACRAATTGGTGTGGCTTCTGCAGCATTGTGGACTCTGTACTTCTCTGTTGTGTTGAAGAAGGAGCTGACCTGCAAGAYGAAGGTCTCTGATTACCRGCCRGTCTACGTTCCACTTAKCTATGGTCATGAAGTTTGGGTAGAGACTGAAAGATTGTGGATGCAGGAGGTCCAAATGAGTTCTCTCCACAAGGTATCTAGAGTCTCCCTTAGAGATAGGGTGAGAAGTTCAGTCATCCAGGAGGGACTCACAGCACAGCCGCTGCTCCTCCACATCGAGAGTCACCAACTGAGGTGGTTCATCTGGTTAGGATACCTCCTGGATGTCTCCTTAGGGAGGYGCTTCAAGCATGTCCAACTGGGAGGAGACTCTGAAGAAGATGGGAACACCTTGGAGTCCTCCCAGAAKAACTGGAAGAGGTGGCTGGAGAAGAGAGGTCTGGACCTCCCTGCTCAAGCTGCTGCCCCCGTGATCCATGTTTGGAACAAGTGGTAGATAATGGATGGATGAAAGCTTTGACAGTGCAAAATTTAGAATGTGACATTATTACACTCCAAGTATAACAATCATTTATCCAAACATCAAGAAACTTAAACTGATCTTTGATAAAATGTTAAATATATTAAAATGACAGTTTGTTTATATAAACTCTGAATGATGTTTCTATAAAAAGCTCCACACAGGGACGAGTCTTCTCACTCTTTTCACTAAAATCCAACTGTTCTCTTGTTTTAGGGCAATTCTTTTTCACATATTTGCAGATTTTGTTTACACTGCACAATGTGCAGAAAAGTCACATCGCTCTATCCTGGATGGAGTCACTTGTTTTTACACGTTGAGTGTTTTCCAAAGTGTAGGAAATGGGAAGCAAAAATTGTGTGGAAACAGAAAAACTAAGCAGCAAATACTCAAAGTTAAAAAATGCAACTCTTGCAAATTTTATGATTTGATTAAAATTATATATTTTATATAATTAAAAGTAAAATAAATGGATCCTGTTCCTGGGTGAACACATTATCAGGTGGCAACATGTTCACAATATGTCTTCCTTCCAGTTTGAACCTGGTGTTGGTGGTTCTGTTTCGTTCCAGTTGAGGCAGGATCCAACAAGACGGAGGATCCATGATGGGTGGGATCCATGATGGGTGGGGTCCATGATGGGTGGGGTCCATGATGGGTGGGGTCCATGATGGGTGGGATCCATGATGGGTGGGGTCCATGATGGGTGGGGTCCATGATGGGTGGGATCCATGACGGGTGGGATCCATGA